CATTGAGATTTGATGCTTTTGGAGGCTTTTGGATGGAGATTTCTATTAAGAAATTTGAGATTTCCTTTTAATTTAATATTGCCAGAGGTCTTCAAAGTTAGGAATTCTTATTTCCTTTTAATTTAATATTGCCAGAGGTCTTCAAAGTTAGGAATTCTTATTTCCTTTTAATTTAATATTGCCAGAGTAGCTCCAGAGGTAGCTAGCTAAGGATTCCTTATTTAATTATCAACTGATTGATTTTCTTATACATTATTTTGGAGGCCTTGGCTGTTGAGGGGGGGGGGGGTTTATTAATCAAGGGACTACATTACTAGTAGTAACAAGTGCATCGCTACTAAAGGCCATCGCTCCGATGTCTTCGTTGCTACCGTCGTCCTCTCGGAAGCTGCGCTTCTTGGCCTCCAAGAGCTGCACGGCTCCGTGGCTCAGGGCCTCAGTCCGTCCATTCCATTCGGTCGAGTAAAGAGAACAAAGCAAGAGAAGATAAAAGGACGACAAAAACACCTGTTTTATCCTTTGAGCTTTTTTGTGCCCTATGGTGTCCATTCAACAGCAGTTTTGACACGTGACAGTGGCACTGTTTGTTGGGCCCAACATGGTCCTATGGGCTCCAGATAGCAGCTCTAGTGGGATACAAAGTAAATTGCAGGCAAGGACTTTCAATCACTCATGGCATTCACACCATTTCAGGAGTCAATGGGAGGAGGAGAAGGAGAAGGAGTAGACACACATACGCATACACACACAGGTAGCCATGTCTAATTGGTACGGCGTTGACATGTTCCGCTGACATACCAAACCGGAAGGGCTCGAATGCCACAAGGGATGACGAGTGGCAGAAAATTTGGCAAAGCAATCAAAATAGAAATGAAGTGCCAAGGCAAAAGAAATTCTAGACGAGGTGAACAACTGTGCTCTTGGCTTTCAGCTAGCCAGGCATTCGAACCAAGCACTTTTTCCTTTGGTAATGAACATCACATTAATCAATTGATTACTTGGTGGGTGTATCGCTGTCACGACTTTCCGTGCCAAGCCACCAGGCAACGCGTGCCAACGTCCCGCAGCTCCACCGCCTTGGCCACCAGATTCCGCAGTGATGCAGCGCCCCAGCAGCGCAGCCGCGCCGCATCCAACGGAACACCCAAGGCCTGACTCGACATGTCGAGTAATTTTAAAAATAAGAACTCTACTAACACTATATTTATATATTACACTATATGTATATATAATATTATACACGGAAATGGCCGCGCAAAAGTGCCTATCTTATTCCACCGACCCTTCGCCAAAGTGGAATCTGTTCCAAAACTTCGGGGTGCCGCTTCGCAGCGCACGGTCGCATCACTTCCACCTTCGCCAAAGGTGACACTACCTTCGGTGACACAAACGAAGGTGGTTGTGGGGTGTGTGGTTGTGGGGTGTATGAACGCAGGTCCAACACCTGGTGGGTGAAGTGAAATGTGACAGCACAAAAGGCTCAGCACACCTTCCTTTGAACACAGAGAGATTGACACACCATTTTCCATGCTTGCTCATCCTTTCGGTCCACGTTCCACTTGCTTCTTGGGTCATCAATTTGAGTCCGCTTGCCCACCTTGCACTTTGGCCCAATGTTCTGAGTCGGGGGGTTGAAACCGTGAGGATTGAAAGGCAGGGCTGCAGAAACCATTGCAATTGCAAAAACAAGTGTATTTCAACCCTTGTCTTCAATCTAAATAGTAATGCTTTGTGCATAGTGACTTGCAAAAGCGATCACGACTTAAAGTGCTTTGGTCTCTGAAGGTGAGAGTGCTTAAATAGCGGCAGCTAGCAAAGTGCAAATACAAAGTGTGCAAAGTTTTGTGGACGTAGTGGCGACACGCTTGCAAGTGGGCGCCCCTTCATTCATTGCAGTGGCGGATGGGAAGAGCTTTTTCCGTTATGCAAGCAGGTGGAACAAACTATACACAACGCAACAAAGACAAATGGAATCAAATGGATATGTAAAATGCAGAAGAAACCGGACAACTCAACTCTGAGAGAATGGGACCCCGAAAGTTCCTTGGAGCCTTGTTTGTCTTGCAAATATACGCGCTGCCCGGCATCGCTGGTTTGAGAAAACTTAACAATAAACCATTTGCTTTGCCACTGGTTTACACCCCACTCATGTGGCGGACCAATCGCGCCAAGAAAGAAACCAAAGATGCTGCCAGGCTACATGCTCCACATCCAACTTCAAAGCACCGAGATTTCGAACTCCAGCGCTTTCAACTGCTGCAGTGAATGCTTCTAGCACTGTTGCCTCCGATATGTCGATATCTGTCTTCGACAACTGAGGTTCCTTCGGTCCTGCGACACGAGCGATGGGCGACAAGTAGGGTGGCCGTGCGCGGTCGACATGTTGGAAGGAAGGGCTACGATGTAAATGTCACAACTGGAGGCGGTTGAACTGGCACAACCTACTAGGAACAAGTAGCTACTAGGGGCTCCTGGCCTTACTAGGAGCAAGGACGCTACTAGGGGCTCCTGGAGTCGCTACTAGGAACAAGTAGCTACTCTGGAGCACGACTTGTGTCCGCTCTCCTCCGTAACCTGCCAGGCGCACCCTTCCAGCACCCTCCTGGTGGAAAGCATCAGAAGCACACTGGTACGAAAACGAAGAACCGCAATGGTATGGAGCAGGTACGCTGTCAAAGCATGAAACCGCTGTAGCCAATGAAAAAAAACAACACACATCTTGCTTTGATTGCTCAAGGCACCTCGATGTACTGTAAGCGATCTGCATGGGCTCGGCAGAAGTTGCGGACTCCGCCACAAGCTGCGATTGCAGCCTGAAGAAACAGTGCCCAGAATTTCAATGCTCCGGATGCAGCATGTCAGGTGCTAAGAGCTAAAATACAACACGCTCGTGTCGAACTCAAAATGACTCGAAATACCTTTGACCTGTCTTTACCTTGTTCTGTTCTTTCCCTTTGATTTTCAGGCATCTAGGTCCTTTTCCTCTCTTTCGTCGTTTTCCTTTACAAGAGAGAATCAAAAAGAGGGTCCTCTCGACGCCTTGTGCTGGGCTCCTCGTGCATAGAGCTTGCCAACCACGGAAGCCTTTGCTTCGCCTCCAGCCTCCTTGCATTCAGCGTTCAAAGTCGATCAAAGACTGGATTCAGACTCAGGTCAAAAGAATCAAAAACCGCCTGTATTCATATACTTGTTTAACTCGTCAACTCGTTGTCGAAGATGCGTCATTGCTCATTTGCTATTTCTTGTTCCACTGGGCAATGCTCCAAGCTGGAACTCCTGTAACAGCTCCGCTAGGGCGGCAGCTGTCGCAGCCATGAGCCCGGCGGCAAGGCGTGCGGAACAAAACACTAAAATGCATATATAATATGTACTTATTACTTTTATATACGTATATGAGGGGATCAAAAACTTGTTTAATATATATATATATACAGACATGTATTGTTGTTTGGATGGAAAATTCTGATCCAACAGGAATGGGATGCACGCCCTGAAATGATCATCAGGCGCTGTTTCACAAAGCCAAGCCGGGTCTCTTTCTTGAGTCGATGCAAAAGGTGCCTACTGTAAGTATATGCTCTTAGAAAAGCTTGCAAGACTCTCACTTCGGCCTCAGGAGTATACGTTCAAAAGATCTCAAAAGGCTATCTGAGTATGCAACGGCACTGCAGTCCTTGTTTTCATTTGAGTCACTTCCATCACAAAACAACTTGTAAAGTTGTCGAGACGATACTCGTCCTCCAAGGCAGCCTGGTACTCACAGCTCAACAGTTGCGCCTGCTCAGCTTGCTTTTCGCTTGAGTCAGCTCATTATTTATGCTCGCAATTGCTTACAAGTTGGAACAAAATCGGACTAGGATCATCTCCTCACCCCGAATAGCAAGAGCCAATGGACTTCTGGAGATCGTTAAAGCCTGCAACATCGAGCAGAGCTTCTTGCAAAATCCACGATGTTCCAAGTCACTTTCCAGATCTGCGGAACAAATCCCTCCGCTTCTCCCACCTACCTCATCGCAATCTGTAATTGCCTGGTCAGGAACTCGCTTGTCTGTCGAGCTTCCCGACGCTGCCGAACCACCAACTCCAAAGACCTTGTCGTATCGCTGGAGGGCAACCTCAGATTGTAAAGTTGACACGTTGAAGATTGAAAGTTATCAAAAGTGATTGACAAGGCTAACCTACTTGGCAGATCTTGGCAGGAGTTGCTTTGAAAGTCTTCTACAGCCTGACAAGACCCCCGACAAAAGCATCCGCACGCGATGCCAACGCCGACACCCTCACCTGAAACAGCAGAAGACAAACATCCGGAGCCTCTCTTTTGTAAAAGCTTCAAAAATATATGTATTGTTTGACATGCAAACGAGTTTGGTGAATTGTCAAAAATTACAAATTCCTCTGCTCCTAGGTTCATTGTCAGCAGACAAAGCAGAGGTGGCAAAAGGGTATTCAGCAAGGTAATTCAGCTTTAGTACGTGCACAGCCACCAGAGTAGCGGCATGCAGTTTCCACTCAAGCTATCGGCGGGTATGTTTCTGTGGGTGCAAATTGAGCATGGTGTGAATGAAAGATTGAACATTGTTCTCTCCTGCGTCAGATCTTTGTGACCGTACCTACAGATGATGGAATGGAGTGTAGTAGTAAGTATGCACAAGTAAAGTACATACATGCATTTTAAATCATTTTAATCCAGTGTAGCATGTATTTGAGGAAAAAAAAACATGTGATTGCTGCAGTCCTTTCTTAGTCTCCTAAGTATCATGTGTCTTCAAGTTGTTCCAAGAATTTGGCAAGCAACTCACCTCTTTGCTGCATGTGAGAAGCACAAAGGTTTTTCCGGAGCTGCTGAGCAGCTGATGAATTGTAAAGGATCTGTCTATGGAAGCAACGAGATCCATGAGTTTGGCACTGTCGTTTCACCGATGTGATTTGTTTCATGTTATCTGCATTGTCTTATGATCATAATTGTTAAGCATGAAGACGTGTAGCGTTCTCAAAAGATTTGTCTATTGGAGGCACTGTGACAACTGATTATATTCTGAATCTGCTTCTCAACAACAACTGGTGCCTCGGATGCAGCATGAGGTATGTCGATGGCCTGACACACAAAGGACTTTACAGTTTTGCTGTGGATTGCATCTGCTGGGTCTCGTTGAAAGTTTTTCTTTCCGCATCTCGCAGTGGCACCTTGGTGAGGTCAGCCAGCGCTGCGCCAGCTTCCCGCAGCTCCAGCTGAGCCTTGCAGCGACGCGCTTTGAAATTAGTTACATTGAACAAGGAGTTACTAAAACTTAAAGGTGCAGACTACTAGAGTTACTAGAGACTCTACGACTCTACAATGTTTCCTCACGAGCTTCCTTTTGAAGTCTCTCAGGTTGAAACAAAGCACAACAAGCAAAAAGCGTGGGTAGCGAAGTCCACAACAACTGCTCCCTGAGATCGAGCTTAAGATCTTACAACACCGGTCTTGTCAAACCTGTCCCCGAAGCAGCAGCGCTTCGCAGCAGCTGGGACATTCTCGCAGGGCCTGGTGGTGCCAAAGCAATACGAAACACCGACAGGCTCTGCGTGTGGCCCACGTCGCTTCACTTCGCTTCGCTTCGAGCGACTCACCGAAGCGTTCGAACTGGGACCGACATCTCTCGCCTCGTCGGCATCCGAGATCGCCTCTCGGATGTTCCCCAACTTTCGATGGGCGTTGCCTGTCACCACATGTATAAGGAGATGCAATGAGATGACTACAAATAGTCTGTCTAACTGCAGTGCCAATGCTTCTAAAGTATTCTAAAGTCATCTAAAGTCAGTATGCTGAAGCTTTGCCGCTTGTTTTGTCCTCTGTTTCTGCGGCACTCCTCAGACTGCCGTCAGCAACCCCCATGCGACATAAGGAAAGGTCGAACTTTGCCCTCTTAGACTAGATGTTTGTTCCAAACAAAGAAAGTCAAACAATGAAATAAGGTACACAAACAATGCTCTTGCTGACTCTTGCCTAATCCTAAGATATCCTGAAATGGTTCAGCTGGGCTGAAGTCGACCATGGCGAAACATCATGCAGTTGAAGTGATCTGAATTTCACGTGGCACATCATGGCACCGTATTGGATCAATGACGCAAAGCACCTAGAGGCGGACGTTCTGGATCAGCGAGAAATTCCTTTCTGGCCATGTTCTGGTGGAACTCCTCTCGAATTCCCTGCAAAATGTCTGTGTGCATGCGAAGCAAATGATTCCTCACGTACTCACAGCCCTTGAAGGACTTGCGGCAGTCTTTGCATTGGAATTTCTGATCCGACACAGTGATAATCTTCTCACGACAAACTTCGTCAAAGCGTTCTTTGATTTGGACATCATCGTAGCGCAGAACAGTAGGCCGCGTCAGAGACACTGTGTCCAAGAAGTCCTGCATTTAGATCCCGTTTGCTGGGGCCAACACCCAACTGCTAATGTACAGATGTTTTTTTCACAACTTAACGCATAGATTCGGCAAAACCATATCGCTGCTATGTTTGAAAGATGTGTGTGTGTGTGCCGAACTTTAGTTTGCCCATGGTTTCCCCTGTCCCCTGTCCTTGATGCGTCCTTCATGGCCAATGGCCCAGATCTCCATGTCGGTGTCATCCTGTCGATACGGCTCTCGCACAGTTGCGGCTCCACAAAGGATTCGCAAAGTCCACTCATCTCTGCACCATTTTCCCGAGTAGAAGCAAAAGTGGTGAACACGGCGTAGGTACAGCACCTGAAGATCCAACTTAAGCTCTGTGTTTCCACAGAAATCCAAAAGGCTTGATGTGATCTCCTTGGACACACCGTGCAATTCATCCATGCGCTCAATCACCTCAGTAGAGCTGGAAAACTCCATCAACCAAAAAGAAAGTGGCAGAGAAGCAATGGCCTCCAACCTACAGGCGATGGCCTCCAACCTACTAGCAAACCTACTAGCAATGGCCTCCAACCTACAGGCGATGGCCTCCAACCTACTAGCAATGGCCTCCAACCTACTAGCGATGGCCTCCAACCTACTAGCAATGGCCTCCAACCTACTAGCAATGGCCTCCAACCTACAGGCGATGGCCTCCAACCTACTAGCAATGGCCTCCAACCTACAGGCGATGGCCTCCAACCTACTT